CGCCTGCCCACTCCCCCCGCCAGGTGGCGCGTCACGTACGTGGAACTGGTCGGGGCTGCCGAGGCGTAGTTGCTGTTTCATCTGCGCGGGGGCGCCGGCACACATCTGGTAGAAGACGTGGTAGTTTCGCTCCTCTCTATTCTGAACGCAGATGCGCGATTTCTCGAGGAGGTAGTGCGAGATGTAGCCGCCGTCGACGACGCCCTGAAACGCGTGCAGACACGTACATATGCTACCCTCGAGGCATGTTACGCGCGCGTAGACACACGTACATACGCTACCCTCGCGGCATGTTACGCGCGCGCAGATGCGCGATTTCTCGAGGAGGTAGTGCGAGATGTACCCGCCGTCAACGATGCCCTGAAACGCGCGCAGACACGTACATATGCTACCCTCGCAGCATGTTACGCGTGCGCAGACACACGAACATACGCTACCCTTGCGGCATGTTACGCGCTCACACAGACACACGTACATATGCTACCCTCGCGGCATGCTATGCGCGCACGCAGACACGTACATACGCTACCCTCGCGGCATGTTACGCGCACACACAGACACGTACATATGCTACCCTCACGACATGTAACGCGCGAGAAACGCGCAGACATTTTGCAGGGACTCCTGCAGCGGACTTTTGCATACTGCAACAGGCAAATGCAGAAACATACCTACGCTACCCTCGCAGCCTCTTACACGCATACAGACACACCCTCGTACTCAGTAACATGCGCGCACACCCTCACACGATCTAAGTTCTAACACACAACACCGGCCACGCCCCCTCGAACGATCGACATATCAACGATCCACAGATCAACGATAGACAGAGCAACAATCAATGATCAACAGATCAACGATCAATGATCGACAGATCATCAATCAACGATCGACAGATCAACAATCAATGATCAATGATCGACAGATCAGCAATCAATGATCGACAAATCAACAATCAACGATCGACAGATCAACAATCGACAGATCAACGATCAAAAATCGACAGATCAACGATCAATGATCGACAGACCAACGATCGACAGATCAATGATCAACAATCAACAGATCAATGATCAACGATCGACAGATCAATGACCGACAGATCAATGATTGGCAGATCAATGATCAATGATCGATAGATTAATGATCGACAGATCAACGATCGACAGATCAATGAATGACGAACAAGAGATCTATGAGCTTCTCGGTACTACGGTGGCGCCCCCTGGCGCACGACGCACCTGCGACGAGAAGTGGATCTCCACGAACTTTCCGAATCGGCTTGAGTTGTTGTTGCGCACCGTCTTTGCGTTTCCGAAGGCTTCCAGAAGAGGATTGGCTGCAAGCACACACTCATACTGTCATACGTAAATGGACGAGCCGATAGAAAATCGCATGTACACCATATAGCCCATATATCCATAATTCATATATCCATATATACCCATATATCCATAACCATAATCCATATACCCGATATATCCATAACCATAATCCATATACCCGATATATCCATAACCATAATCCATATACCCGATATATCCATAACCATAATCCATATACCCATATATCCCATATATCCATATCCATCCTGCCTACCAGCCTGCCTACCTGCCTGCCTCCCTACCTGCCTGCCAACCTCCCTACCTGCCTGCCTACCTGCCTGCCTGCCTACCTCCCTACCTGCCTACCTGCCTGCCTGCCTGCCTGCAAACCTGCCTGCCTGCCTACCTCCCTACCTGCCTACCTGCCTGCCTACCACTTAATTCAAACACGTGACGTTGCCATGACGACTCACTCTGCAGTATGTGTTCTTCTATCGGGTCGGCGTGCGAATCCCAGCTCTCCCTACCTACCTACCTACCTGCCTGCCTGGATACCTGCCTGCCTACCTACCTGCCTGCCTGCCTGCATACCTGCCTGCCTGCCTACCTCCCTACCTGCCTGCCTGCCTGCATACCTGCCTGCCTGCCTACGTCCCTACCTGCCTACCTACCTGCCTACCTCCCTACTTGCCTACCTACCTGCCTACCTGCCTGCCTACCACTTCATTTGACGTTGCCATGACGACTCTCCCTGCAGTATGCGTTTTTCTATCGGGCCGGCGTGCGAACCCCAGTTCTCCTTACCTACCTACCTGCCTGCCTGCCTGGATACCTGCCTGCCTGCCTAACTGCCTACCTGCCTGCCTACCTACCTACCTGCCTACCTGCATGCCTACCACTTCATTCAAACACGTGACGTTGCCATGACGACTCACCCTGCAGTATGCGTTCTTCTATCGGGCCGGCGTGCGAACCCCAGTTCTCCCTACCTACCTACCTGCCTGCCTACCTGGATACCTGCCTGCCTGCCTACCTGCATACCTGCCGGCCTGCCTACCTACCTGCCTATCTGCCTGCCTACCACTTCATTCAAACACGTGACGTTGCCCTGACGACTCACCCTGCAGTATGCGTTCTTCTATCGGGCCAGCGTGCGAACCCCAGTTCTGCGTCAGGTAGCGTAGAACGTACTTGGTGCTCTCCGTCTTTCCCGCGCCCACCTCTCCCGAAACGATGATAGACTGGCTTTCTTTCAGCATGCGCATGTCCCTGTATGCCTTGTCCGCTGCAACGTAACGAGACGGTGCCAGTCTAAGTAAAGGAAGATCGATCGATCAGAGGGTTCAAGTCGATGAGGAGGAAAAAAGTCGTTTTTTTAGAGAAGTAATCTCTTGAAGTGAATGTGGAGGGCGCCAGTGGACGTACCGAGCTCGACAGTGTGCAGTCGAGAAAACGCCGCAATTAGGAAATCGACGACAAGATAAAATTTAAAACAAATTCAACACAAATTTAGAAACATACTGGGAATCAACAATTGTTTACGAACGAACATTAAATTTAAAAAAAATATAAAAAAATACAATATTTGTCATTATGTCCCAATAGATGGCGCCGGCGTGCACGTACCGATGGCGAACACGTGCGGGGGCATGACGCCGATCGACTTGCCCTTGTAGTGACGGATCGTGTCGACGCAGTAGATGTTCTTTATCTCACGATACGGATTGACGGCTATGAGGATGTTAGCCACGTACGTCTGCAAGATTGAATGTAAAACACACACTTAGTTTGTCTGTACTCATAGAGAGAGCAGGAGACGGAGCGGGGAGCATAGAGAGAGACGAGCAGAAGGCGCCCGAGAGCAGAGACCCCAGAGAGAGAGAGAGAAAGAGGAGATAGAGACGACAGCGAACAGACAGAGAGAGCGACGAACAGCGAGTAGAGACAGGGCCCGACAGAGAGAGCCTAGGGACGAGACAGAGTACATGAGAAGGTATAAGACTAGACCGACAGACACGAGACACGCGACAGGAGATTACAGCAGAGAGGAATATGAGAGAGAGAGAGAGAGAGAGAGAGAGAGAGAGAGAAGAGACATC